CACCTCGGTCCTAATCTTCTGAGTCAGTTTCTTCATCGAAATTCACTTTTGTAGTGCTTTCTTCTTTTTCAACATGATCCCATGACCAGCTGCTTGCCTCATTGAATGTAACATCACGGCTGATTGAAACTTGTTTTGTGGCAGGATCAAACAACTTGTATACCCCTGTTACATGATAACTAATGAACACATGCAGTGTGTGCTTTTGTCATCAAGTTTTCTCCTTAGTGCAGCAGTAACGACTGTCTCTCCCTAGAACTGGTTTGGCACATTCTTTCCCTTTAGCATGCACCGTATCATGTTCAGCAATGTCCTATTCATACATTTCGCAGTTTCATTATGTTGGGGGGGTATAAGACAGAGTCTTCTCATGAATTATTCCCTCCTTCTCACAAAATGAGCTGAAGTTCATTGATGAATACTCACCACCTTCATCATTAGCAAGACATTCAACTTCTCCCCACTCTTCCTCTCGGCCATCCTGACAAACTTTTCAAACACTTCTTAAACATCACTTTTTCGTGCAAGCAAATACACCCACAATTTTCGTGTGTATTCATCGATGAAGGTGAGTATGTATCTGTTCCCTCCTGGAGTTGTGACCTGTATAGGACCACAAACATCAGTGTACACAAATCCCAGCTTCTTGGTTGCTCTTCCACTAATAAATTTCTTGAAGCGCAACCTAATTTGCTTGCACTAGATGCATTTTGAGCAGAATTCTTTTGGTATTTTGATTTGTGGTAACCTTGTAACAAGATTATCATTACTGAGTCTATACAAATCATGAAAATTGAGGTGCACAAACCTGTTGTGCCACAACCATTCTCCATCATCAACCACGGAAGCAAAGCACTCATGTCTACGTGTGTTCATGCCCACTCTGTTCTATTATCCGAGAGTTTGGCTTGAATCACCAACCTTTTATCTTGATCAAATATGCTAAGTCCATTCTCCTTTAACTCCATAAAGAACCCTCTCTGTAGAAGCTGCCTGAGACTTAGCAAGTTGGTTTTTAATCCGAGTACGTAGAGAACATCATCTATGATGATTTCTCTATTCTCATGATCAATTAACACCACGTGACCTCTCCCTTGTGCTTGCAAACTCTGATTATCTGCGAACCTGATCTTCCTGTGTGAAACATCACTTAACTTTATTGAACCAATCCCGACATCCAGTCATGTGGGTAGAATAGCCGGAATCGAGATACCATGAAGATGATTCTTTTGAACTTTCTTCACTGGTATTTGCCATGAGCATTACTATATTTGAATCTGATGAAGCATCATCTTTAGCTAGGTTAGCTTGATTCTTGGACTTCGCCTTGGACCCTTCACCCTTCCAACACTCACGAGTAAAGTGCCCAAGCTTTTAACAATTATAGCACTTCACCTTTTTCTTGTCAAATTTCCAGTCTTTCTCTCCACTGTTCTTGGTGCCACGACTCTTACCTTTCTCTGAATCACCTGCAGCATCATCTGGGTTGACACTCTTTGACTGTTTCGTACTCTTCTTGGTTCCTTTCAATTTCATCTTGTAACTCGATCTCGCTTGCAAGGCTTGTTCTTGCATATATTTTCTCTCACTGAGTATGTATTCATGGGCCTCCAAGTCTTTCGTTTCTTCAATCGTAATTACAAAATGATCAAAACTCGATGGAAGAGATCTTAATACCTTGCTTACGATATGCTGCTCTGAAACTGTGTCATTGCATGCTCAGATTGCGTTGACTAGCTCCTACACGTTATTTAGATACTATACTACAGTCTCAATTTCTTCCATCATGAGAAACTCAAACCTCCTCCTTAATGCTTGCAACCTAATCTTCTTGTGTTTATCTCCAACACCATAGGTCTTGTCAAGTATCTCCCACACCTTCTTTGCAGTTTCAACTATTGAAATTTGTTTAAAAATCATGGGGCTGACGCACTAATATATCAAGAACCTAGCCTTATTATCCATCTCCTTTTGAAACTTAAAATTTCGTTTCTCTTCTTCCGTAGCTTTGCTCCCAATTTCTGTGACACCATTTTCTATTATATCAACAACTTCTTAAAAGTCGAATACCGCTTTCATCTTAATCTTCCAATCTCCAAAAGATTTGCCATCGAACACGGGCAACCCTCCCTGCATCAATCCTTCAAGACCTCTTGTCATGATAAATCTTGTGGGTTTCTTGACCACACTCCAAACGTTTCTTCAATAGGCTTCTTGATTTGTGACTTCTTAATCTTCGAAGACCCACGTGAAAGAAACCTCCAAGATTTTCTTGACTTCACACTCTCAAGGTCATAGAACGAACCATGCTTTTGATATCATGTTACGCACTCGTATAACAATGCATGAAATCACAACTCAGAGATGGAAGATACACTTACTAAAGAAGAGTAAAAAAAATACTCGTATATGTGAATAATACAAACATTACATACAACTAAAATAATGTAGTATTATTTATAACAGACAAAGTGCAGATAACAGAAAACTAAAGTTTCAACAGAAATATTTTTAGTTTGACTTATTCAACATCCATATATATCTACTTTCTTTTTCTCTCTTCTTCTATTTTATTACAGTCTCTTTGAAACATTCATAACACATATTTTCAATTTGTAGTTTTTAGACATATAAGCAACTATCATTTCTCTCTTTTCTTTACAATTTTTTCATTAAAATATGTATTATGTGAGTGTGGTCAGGAATGGAAATGAGGAGGAGAAGAGAGATTGTCATGCGAGATCGAAAATAAAAACTGATTCTCGAGGGTTCGTCGAATAGAGAAGCTTGTTCTCTACAGTTTTCAACTCTACGTAGTTGTATTGTATCTATTATCTTCTTCTTTGGAGAATTGACATGTGCCATGATTTGCACAGAAAAGGAACCACACATGTTATTTTAAGGTAAGTTACATTGAATTGTAGAGATTTATTGAAAAGGAATATCATAAAGTTATTTATCTTAATATCATAAAGTTTATTTATCTTTATAACCAAAAGGGATTAGCAAAAACAACGAAAATCAAAATAAGAGATAAAAAGGTGATGATGGATGAAATTGAGTGTATGTAATCTTCAAAGCCTCTCCAACTTTATATCTTGATATGATAATTGTTATGATACATTTGATATTTTATAATCAAACCTTGGAATTAAGATCATCATTTTCAACAATACATACAACCCTCACACAATGTAATTCTGATGTTAAATTCACTGTTTATTCCTGTAGGGCTTTTTAATGCAGATAAAAGTATGAATACAATACCTGATTGTCAAAAAGTACTCTTTATTATTATTTAATCTCTTTGTTCCAGGTGTTGTTATCCTATTTTCCTTAGACTGAATAGGAAGGTATCTACAGTAGAGTATGCTCAAGTCAATATAAAGGTGATAAGTAGGGGTGTCAAAGTGAGTCAACTCGGCTCATACGGGTTGGCTCACCACGGGTTTAGCTGAAAATAGGTGAGCTCAATCCGGCTCACTTTTTGGTGAGCCAGAAATTTTACAACCCGGCTCAACCTACCATGGGTTGGTGGGTTATGTGGGTTGACTCACTAACCCATATTTTTTTAATTTTTAAATTATATAGAAACTTCAGATGTAAAAACTTATGTTTTCTTCCTTTCTTTCTCAACACCAGTATCTTCGTTATTAACTGAAATTGACTCATTGGGTTTTTCATTAATAATAAAATCATCACCAATACAATTTACATTGATGTATTGTTTCAGATTCCATACTGTAAATTAATTTAAAAGAAAGAAATAAAAATTTCATATATTAAAGAGATATACATATAAATCAATAACAAACAATAAATAGTGTATAGATGCTACAATTTTCAAATAAAGATTCATCAATCCAATGGTTTAGGTTATGAAACAAATTCTTACCTTTGAAAGCAATACAGTGGACATGGTGTAGTGGTGCGGTAGACAGATAATAAGACAAGTGACCCAAGTACAACGACAAACGTAATGATGCAGCAAACAACTGATAACAAGTTTGGGTTTGACTTGTGGCGACAACCAACAATGTAGGGTAAAAGTAAGATAGGATAACATCAATTAGGGTTACTGAAGTATTATAATTATTTTTAAAATTTAAAATAAATGATTAATTAGGATTAATATATTATTATAATTATTTTTAAAATTTAAAATTAATGGTGGGTTGCGGGCAACCCACTATAACCTAACTCAAAACTGTTTAACCCGTGGGTTAAGTAAAGCTGGGTTCATTTTTAGCCCATAATCTGTAGAAATAAAAAAAAAATTTGAACCCAATCCAGCTCGAACCCATGGTGAGCCGGATTGGCTCACGGGTTAGAATCCATATTGGCACGCCTAGTGATAAGTGTATGTATTAAAGGTGTATTAATGAGTAAATAATGTGCTTATGAGTTTATCTATATTTATATATTTTGTTTTGTGCCTAAACTGTGCTGACGAATAAATAAATAAATAAATAAATAAATATATATATATATATATATATATAGGGGTAATAGTCCTGTTTTGTTTCTTAATACTTGGTTTAATAGTTTAACTAGACATATTTTCTTTATTATTATTGGCAATCAATTGGACACCAACTATTATTTGTACATTTTTAATTTATTTAAAATAAATTATATTTTTGTTGTAAAAAGTGACTGTAAAAAAGTGAAAATAAAATTATTTTAATAAATAATATCTTTATTTTGATTCTTTGTATGAAAATATTAAGGTTATGAAAGAAAACAAACTATTTCATAATTTTATTAATTTAAGAAAGTTAAATAAAAAAAAAAAAAAAAACACAGAAGAGGGTATAACAGTGTAATGATGAGCAGGATCTTAATTTGGCTTTTTACTTTTATATTTATCCCTCTCTCTATTTCAGTCACCCGAACCCGAGCCCGACCCGAAACTCACGTAACATCAAGTCACTCTAATTTGACTTAACGTATCCCTTGGTTCATCTCATCAGTTCTCCAATTCAGACCAGCGAATCAACTCAGCACAACTCACCGGGCGCCAGTCTCCACGCAGACGTGGCAACGAGTTGCCTCGTGTGCCACCCAAGCAAGAGGCTGCCATTGTTCTCTTCCACCCTATAGCCTTCTCCCCCCTCAGCGTAGAGGGCCAGCAACATCCTCGCTTGCCTGAACGCGTTCGAACCCAAATGAACCGGTTCGAACCCGCCCAAACTGAAGCGCCCTCTCCACTGACCCAGCGTCTCGTGCCTCTCCACGCGGTCCTCCCCCTCACACGCCACAACGTTACATATCTGCCTCCCCAAGTACATCTCCGACATCACCAACACTTCTTCACTCGACGCCGCCACCGATGCCTCCAACGAGTCAAACAAACTCGAGTAATAGTACAAAGCCTCCGTGAACCGCTCTAGAAAAACCGGACCGTTGTGGTTCGCTTCTTGCTCCACCACGGTAAAAATGTCTGGGTTAATCCTCTTAACTGTGGCTAAAACCTTTTCAATCTCAACAGGTCGCGCCAGTAACCGGTGAAGCTCGAAGATAGAGTTAACCGCCACGGATTCTCCGGCTCGGATCTCGAGCATGGACGGATCTAGATCCGCTAAACTGTTACACACGAATCCGCGGAACTCGAATTGAACACAAATTTTTTGAGCGAGTTCCGCCAGTTTCAAACCGACCTGATTCAGCGCGTTGGAATCGGCGTCATCTAGCCGCGGCGGTCCGATCCCGGTGAGACGGAACACTGGCGGACCTCCCGGACGGACCGCGAGCGCTTGCATCAAGGCGGGCCACTGCAACCCCTGCTTTAGGCCAAAATCAATGACGTGCACAGTGTCTGCGGAGGCGAAGGCTTCGAGGATGGCGTGGTTCGCGGTGAAGTGCGCGAATTTCAGGTACGGGCTCGATTCGTAGAAATGCATGAGAAGCATGTCGGAATAGGAGGAGTCTAGGGTTTCGTGAGGGTAGAAGCCGTAGATTCTTCGAGCGAGAGCTTGAGCGAAGAACGACGCGACCTTCCCCATTGAACCTCCTTGCGACGCGGCGAGGGTTCCCGCGTGCTTCACGAGGCCCACCGCGAGGCTCGCGTTTCCTAATTGAACAGCCTCCGCGCATGCCATGAGTGCATGGACGAGATGCACGCCGGGTTCCTCCACCATAACCACCGGAAGCGCGTTCCCCGATGAAATCGCCGGCGAACACGGAAATGAAGAACTCTTGAATCGCTTGAGGCAATTTTGATTTTCTATTTGTGGATACGCTTCGATGTATGGCAATGGAATCGCTCTTGGATCGTTCTCAGGGACGTTGATTAACGGCGATGGAGTAAAAGAGTTGTTGTTGATGTTTGTGGAGATGGTGGAGGTGTAATTGGGTGCGTTGTTGAGAATGTTCTGAACCCAACCGTAGAGATCGGTTGGGTCGTAATGCACGGTGTTGGTGGCGAGATGGGAAATTCCATCTTCCTCCATCACCATCTCCAATTGCTGCAGCTTGTGTGCAACGTCAGCCATGTCCGAGGGACACACTTTGTATCCTGCACCTGCCAACAACTTGTCTTCATTTTCTTCTTCCTCAAACATCTTCTTCTCCTCCCCACTGCTAGCACATTCACCTCTCACTGCATTCGCGTTTTCCATTCTTTCCCTCTTCATCTCACCTAGTGGGCTTTAAAAAACAATAAAAACAGAGAAGTTGTTGTTTAGCACTGTTTTCTCTTGGCTTCCCTGACGCAAAACAATTTAGATTTTGATGATATTACGAAAGAAATGTTGTTATTTTTGAGCGGTGTTGTGCGAATAAAAGCATAATGTGATGATACGTGTGTGCTAGAAATGAAGCTCTGCTTTAGGGATATAGAAGAGCCGTGACAGCACCGTAATGCCAAGAATGAAAGATGCTGGCTGATGGAGATGACACAGTACGCTCTCTTTCAATCTTTTGACCACGCTCTACACCACGCGCGTGTTTTCACATTCCTTGTGTTAGTGAATGATGTTGATCATTTGTGTGGATTAGGCCAATCAACGATAGTAATACTAACATTTATCATGCTCTGGTCTCGTCCACCATTGATTGGCCATCATCGTTTATTAGTAGCATTCATTTTGAGCAATAAGTGGTCTTAATATCCCCCTCATTCGTTATTTTTTCTTTTGCCATATGATATAATTGGATCAGCCGCTAACATTTAATAGATATTAATGCTAAGTGTGGGGTCAACATGCCGGATACCCTCTAATGAATTCTAGAGGGTCGTCTAAATGGACAATTGAAGAGATTTTTTATAATATATCAACATCAGTTTGATATGCCAAACGTTTTTTTCTTTTAATGCCTTTGGCGAACCATAAATCTCAAGAGAGAGATGTGCAAGTTCCATTACTACTCTGATCAAATTCCATCTCACCACGAATTCATCATGTAAGATTTTCTGTTTTGTACCACTCTGATCAATTTAGCTTTGCATTTCATTTCTCTTGTTATTAGAGTTTTTTTTTTCTTTTCTTTTCATGAGGTGTAGGTTGGTTCTACATAACTCGAAATTTTTTCTATTTTGATTTAAATCAGTTATATATTGAGTTAAGTTATTGGGTTAAGTTTAATTTTTCTTATTGCACTCAATTATAATTGGAGTAGGTGATATGAATATTGTGTTATCTTATAAATATAAACAAATATTAAAAATATTTATTTTACGGTATTTTTAACTTAAAAGGTGATAGTTCTATTTTGAAATTAACCTAATGACTCGACTCAACTCAACTCAACTTTATTATAATTGGATTGTTAAATAAAAATGACTAAATCTGATTTAATTCATTAAAATGGATCAGATTACGTCAACAAATAGATTCTACAAGAGCCCTCTTTTTTTCTACAAGAGCATGATGAACATGTACAAGAAGAGAAATAAAAGAAACACATTATAGTAAACAGATAAAATCAGGAATAATATATAAAAGAATTGATTATTAATGAAGTTTGGGTAGTCTTATAGTGCGACTGATGGGCTTATTTGATCCACGAGTTTTGTGAAGTTAATGATGGCTTTTGTTTATGGCAATTGTAAGGGTATAGAGGCCAGTCCTTTTCCTCGTGATTGACGAAATATGATTCCTTTTAGTCACACCCTCCTTCTGATAAACTATAAATTATTTTTCATGCTTCATTTACGACTAATGCTATAATAACATATCTTCCAACTCTCTTTTGAACACAATCTTAATTATTAGTTGAAGATTAATAAAAATCACAAAACTATATACCTCAACTCTTATTTATTAAATTTTTATTTATAATTTTGACTTTTGATAAATTGTAATCAATAAAACAAATCATTAGGAAAAAAAGCTTTAAAAAGTATGACACACCTCTTATCTGATGTACCAAAACTCAAAATTGTAAAGTATCTTACTTGTTTTAAGTGATTTATTGGACCAATTTATAGTGCTGCAATCTTATTTATTTTAGGATATTCTTTTCCTCTGCTATACGTTAGAAAACAATATATTCTAAAAGAACTATTTCAGAACATGATTTTGTCTTATTGCTTTGGTGGAAGAAATTTCATGGACCTATATAATGTATTGTAATAGTATAATTTCTTTTGCTGTGCGTGCGTGCCTTGTTCCACTGCCAAGTCACTATCACTCTAAGAAAAAAGGGGTGAGCAACCAAGTGAACCAATTCAATAACTCTAGATATCATAACATTGAATGAACAAAGGCTTGGAATATTTTGGGTTAAAAACCAAAACCAAAGTAAGTTGTAGTGTTTAACATCAAGGACGCTTGAGGAAAGATAGGTAGAGTTGAAGAATCATCACAAAATAATTGTACCATGTATTCTTTTTTGTCCTTAACCTAATTCAGAAGAAATAGATGATATTTTTATATGACATATTAGATCTATTTATTTTTATTAAATAATATAAATATGTGAGTTAATATTAAATTTGATTAATAACAAAACTAATTTTAATATACTGCTAAAAATTGAACAAGTTAATTAAACTAATTACTTTTATCAATATATTTGATTATGTTGGAAGTGACGTAGTATAGTATTGTATTGGTTTGATATCACCTCACACCTTTCATCATCTTATTATTCTTCATCTTTTAAGCATTTATCTTGTTGAATAAAGCCTGGTCCCAAATTAGGTCATGCAAAATAGTAATGCTAGTAGCTTCCAATTCTACTGTGTGGGTGGGGTTCACAAATGCATTAATGCAATTGATTAGCAAATGGGTTCTTACTGTGATAAGATCCCAACAACAAAGTGATCCAACGGATGGGGGTGGGGTTAGCGGCTGGTGTCCGTTGATGAAAAATACATTCTGATTTCAATCTCTCCTATGAATGCAGTAGCAGGTGGGGCTGCCTGCAATGGAAACCATGGGCTCCGCTAATTGGGCCATTCTGTTGCAATGGGCGGTGAGACGTGTTGGTCCATAAAAACCCAGAGAGAACAAAGAAAAAAAGAAGAAGAAGAAACAAACAAAATGATTAAGAAAAATAAAGTCATCAGACCTGGATAACATAATGGTAAATAGGTGTAGTAGGTACCACCGTTCTAGAAACAAAATGAAAAGCCTGAAAATTATATTAAACAAAGATTGTCCATCCCAACCTTCAATAATAGTAAAAAAATAAAAGCAAATTGAAAATATTTCCATGATTTCTCCTCTTATTGATGGAAAAAAAATATATACATAAATATATTTTAATTTTATCCCTCCTCGTTATTTTTGGAGGTCTTTCCATTTTTATTTTCACTGGTAATGACAATTATACGTAGTAATATTTATTGACGAAATCAGAAAATTAATATTAGAAGATTCATTTAAATAAATATATTTTAATAGAATTTATTTATTTTTAGATCGTGATCGCCAATCTCTTATTTTTTCATATATTATAATAATAATATTATTATTATTATTATTAGAAAATAATAATATAATAATAGTAATAGTCATTATAGTATGAAATTAATTATTATTATTATTATTATTATTATTACTATTATATTCATTATTTATTAATTATTAATGTAATTTTTGTAACACAATTATTAAAATAATTTTAAAAATATATATTTATACAATAACCAAATTAAAAAATATTTTATATTCAAAGTTATTATAATTATTTTTCTTGTAATTTTAATAATAATTAAATTAAAAGTATATTTAAATTATTATTATTATTATTATTATTATCAACAACTTTTGTACTTTTCTTTGTCTCTTTTTAAAGTTTGAACAATCCTTCAATACTTTTAGATTAATTTAATTATTGAAATTTTTATATCTTTTCAAAATTTTATAAATATTTTATAATAATTAAATCAAAAATAAGTTATTATTGTAAATTAAAACTACATCCAAAATGTTTTCCTAATAATCTATTTTCTAAAATTTACTCAACTACTTTAATTGAAAGAATATGCATTTATAATTATTATAACTAAATAAGATATTTTGTCTTCAAACTTGGATTTTAGGCCATTTCCATTTAATCATTTATCTTTAAACCAAATTTATCTATCATAAAGAAACATCACAACACACCTGTTAGTAAACAGAGAAATCAATACATTTGTGTCGTAGAAGAACCACTGTTCGAAAGCGAAATTCCGACATGACCAAAGTGTAATTGATTGACACCGTTCAGCTCTCCAAGGTTAACATAACACCTCACTACCCTTCTGCACTCGTGGGAGGAGTTGGAAGTGCAGACTCTCGTTATCCAGAAAAAATAAAGATGATGAGAAAAAGTTTCTTCTCTCTATGAAAAAACCCAATCCTATTTTTTTATATATCCTTTTATAAAATATATTTTCACACACACACACATATATATATATATAACTACCTTTCCTGTTTCCTATCTTTTAGGCATGATAATATATTTATAAAACCGTTTTCAGAAACTAACAAAGAAATATTTAAATAATGAAAACTGACCACTAAAAAAGTGTTCCCTTCAGTTTCGGAAAGGCTTACTTGAGAATAGCTAATATAGTCATATGCCCAATAATCCCCCACAAATGACTATATGTTTAAAAATACATTTCTGGGCAGCGAGAAGGAACTAAGTTACTTAAACATTAATCTCTTTCGATTGAATTAATGTATAGTGAAATGAGGTAAATACATAGGTAATGAAAGTGAAATAGTTCTTGAACTTTCAAAGGCTTAGGTTAAGACCCCCATAACACATATTAATTCCTTAAAGTTTGTTATTCCGCGATACAACAAAAACGCTATTAAAGACCCTGCGCATATACCTTGGTTCCATGAGTGCTCTAGAAAGCAAAATTTTTTATTCTTTCATAGAAAGCGGCCCACCTTCACACTCATCTAAACAATAACTTTATCAAGTCTATCACCACAGTAGACTACTCAACAAATAGAGTTATAAAGTCATTAAGTCCTTTAGACTTATATCACAATCATCCATCAAGTCCTATTCAGGACCACTTAACACATAGAGCTATGGATTTAAGCACTACCAATAAGTACAGGGATTGACTGTAATGCATCACAATATTTTCAAGTCAAAGGCTTAAGTCCCATCCCTTGAGAAGTCTCTTGAATGACTCTCCTACTCAATCATTTTGTTAAAGGATCTGCTAGGTTTCTTT